AAATATAAACTGACTGATAAGAGAAGAAGAGATGTCATATGACACACAAAAAAGCATACTTGGAATTTTTTAAATATTTTATTTCGAATTAAGAAATTAAGACATTAAAATTTGAACTAAGTTGTGATGCCAATTTTACTGACATACACTAATAATAAAAGTTCTTTAATTAAATTTTGAAAATAACTCTCATTGTGACATGTGCCCTTTGATCTGTCTATTGAAAGAGGTCAACTTACAACCTTGGGCTATATATAGAAATGACTGGAATTTGGGAACGGAGGACAGCAATCTATGGTTTAAATTCTTCAAAAATCAGCCCAATAACAAGCCTTGTTCACAAAACTACCCAATCATTCATGAATCACTTTATTTTATTTAATTAAGATAATACTACACAAGAACATTTCAACCCAGACACCCTACAATATAAAAAAAAATCTATATAACAGACCTGAAGATCAATAAAGGGTACTGAAATGTCATCTCTAACAAATAAACCTTCCAACAGAGGTTGTCCCTTATAAATCCATTTTACTAACTGATCCATCCTCTATCCATAACCTTCAAAGAAGCATCATATGATTGCTTTTTAACACATTGAAAGTACACGTATTTAAAAATACTTTGTAAAGCTGACCATGCTATTCTAAAATAAGAACATGCAAACTAACACTTCATTGTACTGGATTTACTTATTTTTATATTATGGTGGTTGAAAAAATGTTCAAGTGTAAATATTATTGTTTACTGGGCTTATGGCGAACATATAATTGTATACTAGATACAATTTACAGTACATAAAGAAGTCCAAGTTCAAAACTAACATCCCTGGGCAACATACATCATAAACATAATCTTTTTTAACCTTTGTGCATCAGGTAGGTTAAAGTGTGCATGTCACAACCTTTTACAGAGTTTTACACAGTTTAATGTAACTAACTCATTATAATGTAGATATTATTAAGGTAAAGTCTAATTTTTATAGCCTTCATTCCTATTTATTTACTAAGTCATAAACTAGAAAATATGACCCATTTGTCGTACCTACTTGTCACATCCTCTCTGTCACAAATTACTAATATGTTTTCTCTGACATTTTATACTATATTATTTATAACTAATAAAAAGCTAAAGTTTTATTCTTTCAAATAATGTATTATATTACGTTTTTTTCTGTGCAAAAAA